TTCAACCTGGAAAGTGTTAAACCAAGTGGCTCCTTGGAGGCAAGGATTCTGAGGCTCCATCTAACATACTTTGGACATGTTGTAAGGAGAGACTGGTCCTTGGAGAAGGACATCATGCTTGGGAGGGTGGAGGGACAGCACAGGAGGGGAAGGCCCTCTATGAGGTGGGTTGATTCAGTGACTGGGATAATCGGGATGGGAGTGCCAGAGACAGTGTGATTGGCACAGAACAGAGCAGAGTTTAGAGCTGTTGTACACAGGGTCGCTATGAGTCTCAAGTGATTCAACGGCAGATGACAACAACAACATATTAATACAGATGGAAGAAATGTATTATATTGGGAAAAATCCACAGTCAGGGACCACTATAAATTACTGAGGAGCAATGATGTCTGTTTGAGAACTAAGGTGTGGCTGATTCAGTCCATGGTCTTTTCAATCACTTGTTGTGCATCTGAGAGCTAGACAACAACTAAGGATTGCAGGAGAATAACTGATGCCCTTGAGCTGTGCTACTGGAGAAGCACACTGAATACCCCATCGACTGCCAAAAGAACAAATACATCTTGGGGAGAATGCAGCCAGATTGGCCTTTGGAGGCAAAGATGACAAAGCTTCATCTTATAGACTTTGAGGATGTCGTTAGGAGAGGCTATTTCTTGGAAAGGGACATGCGTGGAAAGCTGGATGATCAGTGGATGAGAAGAAGCTCCAGGTGAATTGACACAGTGACTACAGCAATGGGCTTGAGTGTGTCAGAGGTAATAAGGATCTCACAGGAGAGGACGGGTTTCAGACCAACGGTTCGTAGGGTCGCTGTGAGTTATATTAGACTCAATGACTCCTAACAAATATAAGATGGGTGAAAGGAAAGGCTATATTCAATGAGGATGTTAGCAACATCATCAGAGACAGGGAAGGCACAAAAAGGGATAAGAGGGTTGAAATTCTGGGTATTGAATGTTACTGAAAAAAGTATGTTGACAAGCAACAAATGCTGGCAAGGTTGTGGAGAAATTGGAATCCTGATTCACTGTTGGTGGGAGTGTAAAATGGTGCAACCCCTGTGGAAAGCAGTATGG